GCTTTAAAAACAAGCCCCAGTGCTCACCAGGTGCTGACAGGTGAGGGGGCAATCCCTGCTACCCCCCACTGCCCCATGCTGCATGGGGGGCTCTGCACAAGCCCCCTGACACCCCCTCACTCCCCCCCAGCTGTCCCGCCCGGGCCAGCTCCGGCCCTTTAAGGAAAAAACAAACAAATAGAGAAAAGCCCCGGGACTCACTGCTCCTGCAGCAGCCTTGGGGCTTCATGGGGCTCATGCAGAGCTCCCCACGTGGCATGGGGCAGTGGAGATCACTCCCTGCCGGCAGGAACAGTGAGTCCAGGGGTTTTTGGGTTTTTTTTTTTCCTTAAAGGGCTGGAGCCACAGCAGGCGGGGCAGCCATGTGGAGGCTGGGATAGGGCGGTTGGGGGGCTCATGGCAGAGCCCCCCCATGCAGTGTGGGGCAGTGGGGGCCAGCAGGGATTGCCTCCCCCGGCTGGGGCGGATGGGCCTGGCTAATTCAGAAATTTGGAGATTTGGCAGCAGCTGAATCTCCGAATCAGATTCAGCTGAATCAATTTGGAACAGTGATTTGAATCACCGAATCGAATCACTGTCCCCCGAATCAGCCGAATCCAAATCCAAAGCAAATACTAGCCACTTCACACAGGCCTAATCATTTTTACAGCACTGATGGGGATTACTTTCAGAAACCCCCATACAATGGCAGAAAAAGAGGTTTACTTTGCATCTGACCATAATTTTTAGAACTTGTCTTTCTAAATTTGGAGTTCTCTCACATGTAATCAGATTTATTTTATTTGTGGGACCCCTGTAAGAAAGTAAATCTGGAAGAAGTTGGAAAAATCCCGTATTTATAGTGGGACAAGAAGAATTAAAGGTTTCAATATAGATTTTCACCTTCCATACCTTATGAACTCTTTCAAAGGCAACTTATCATTGCCATTTCTCCAGCATGCAGAACTCTCAAGGATATTGGTATAAACATGCCCCCTGGGGTCTCCTTATGGTACAACAGTTGGTCTCATGAGCTGGTCAAGCTGACTGACTTGGTCACCCAAACCTACAAAAAAAGGGTTTCTGCTGCCTACTTCTTGCCTTCCCCCTTGCATATAAAAACTGTCATGCATTAGTATGCAGGAGACAAGGATTTTGGGGGGTGTTTTTTATTAGACAAACTGCATAGTTGGGAGAGATTTTGGGCAAGCTTTTGGGCACAAGACATACTTTAGTATATCATTCCTTCTGTTTGCTAGTAAAGGCAACGAGAGTGTCAGAAGGACACTGGTATGTGAGACAGCAAGCAACAAACTGGCAGATGCAATCTTCTTCTGAATCCCATTGCCTGCTCTGTCATTGGCTTTATTTTGATTGAGGGCATAAGAGAAGTTAATTTAATTTCTGTGTGCCTCAATTTCCTCTGTATAGAATGGGAGTCAGGAGTCATCAGGGAGTGGGGGCATTCATTTGGTTAATGCTTAATAGTTTGTAACAGTTTTTGTCTACATAGCCTTACACGCTTTTCTTGCCAGTGCCAGTCTGGATCCCTATTTATACACTGAGCCCTTTGTACTGAGTGGAATGCTTGATGGAGACTGGCTGATGAAGTATTATTCAATAATATCGTAATTTTCCTTCTTGTTTTTGTTTTTTTCTTTAGGTATCTTGCTTCTGCATCTCTAAATATTCTGACTCAGACTCATCTCAGACCCATGGAAACCTGAAACAAAAATGCTGTAACTTTTGGGAAGAAATGCCTGCCAAACAATAGTCACAATGTAGGGCACTAGGTGCTTTGGTTCCTGTCCCATAGGGCATGGCCAACTAGAATTAACAGTGTTTTCTGAGTCTTATTTTAACTTTTGGACAGCACTCAAGTTTCAGTGCAAGCAGGCAAACTGCTGAGCTTTTTTAAGCATCTGGAAGCAAAAGCCAGGTGATATATCACATTTGCCTGATAAATAGACAAGATTAAATATTAGCCTTTTCTGAGGGAAGCTCATCCAAAAAGCAAACAGCACAATCCCTTCCAACTCACAGTTGCTGGGCTAAATATTTTATCTCATGTCTTCATTTATTGCATCCCTAATGCTCTTCCCATATGAGTTTTCATATTATAATAGAGCAATGGTAGGTTCCAACACAAGGCTTTGGAGTAAGAATGAACTTGCCAAATGTTATACATGGGTGTTTTGATCCCGTGCACCTGTGGCAACAGAGAGATGTTTTGGGCTTTTAAAGGTTAAACACTTTGACCATAATGCTGTAATTATTTTTGTTGCTGATGCTGAGGATGATAACTATCTGACCTCTGGGATATGGGTCAGCATGGTACATTAGCCTGCCTTGTGAGATAGGAATAGGAAAATGAAGCTGCTTCACCCCATTCAGAATATTACATCAGTTTGTTACCTTTACACTGGAAGTTCATGATATAAGCGAAATTACACAAAGGTGAAAGGGTTTCACACAGATGAAACTTATCTAATCTCTGCTACGCTTCCAAACCTTTGCACTGTATTCCTGGAAGCATAGATTTCCCTCCCCGGCCCGCCCCGCCCTTTTTTTAATTAGCTGGAATAGATTCAAAACAGATTCAGCTTCTGAACATTGAAAGAGTTGAAGGTCTTATATTTCTCTGGGAAAAGTGGAACATCCAAAAATTTCACAGTATTTACTTATCACTTTTGTGAAAACTGAGGTGAATCTGTGTCCAAGCCTCAGTTCCTTTTTGGCATACCAAAATGCACAAAGAACTCAGACCTTGGATTAGTTCTTCAGAAACTGATCTTTTTTTCAAATGCCATTTGCTACCTTTGTAATTTTTTTTAAAAAGCTTTCACACTATTTAACTCTATACCTGTAAAATGGTTTTCTTTTAAAATGAAATATTAGTTAAAATATAGAAGCAGCTGAAGACCACAAAAACTACCCATCTCTCAGGATGGAACCAAATCTTTCCCAGAAGTACATAAATGTATATAAACTTGCATAAATGTAATGCAATTTAGTCTGTTATTGGTAGAAATAGATAAAAAAAAAGATGAGTATGGACAAACAGCTAACTGTCTCTCTTAAAAATAATTTAAATAAAAATAAGGAACTTGAATAGATTAGCAGAAAATACTAAATGATGAATAGTTTGCATACCAATAACATCTTCCCTCTGAAGTTCTCAAAGCACTTTTAAATGTTAATTATCACAGTGCCCTATGAGGTCAGTATTATCATCAACCTTGGTTTATGGGTTAAGACAGGCTCATAGAAGTGACATGATACGCTGCAAGTGACATAGTCTGTAGAGAACCAGAGATGGAATCTAGGACTCTTGGGTGTTAAGCCCATGCTCTAGCTGAAAGACAAAAATATAACAGGTTTACAAGATGTGCTGTTACACTTCAGAAGAGTGAATTTTTATTTGTGGTTCCCAAAGATTACGTGCAACTGGTTAATTAGATGAAAGTTTCTTCTCATGATCTATTATCATTTCCCCTTTTTCCATACCTCTATTATTTGCAACCAATGCTACAGAATCTTTGTGATACAAAATGAACGATACAGGTCTGTCTCTTTTCAGATGTGTAGCTGGTAATAATATAGTGCTGTCCCTACCTCATATACTTCCACTCATTTACCGTTTTCATTTTTTGAGGGAGGCCCTATATAGCCCAGCTGGAGCTCTGCTGTTCTCTCATATTTAATACTCTCACAACTTCCTATGGAAGCAACCATTCTTCTGGTTGAAAAGGACTTCACAGACCTCCCTTTGAAAGTCAGTGGTATTGTTCTGATCTATTGATTTCTCTGTACTTTATTCCCAGACTACAGTGGACACTACATTAATAAAGATGCTGACCTGCAGCTCACATTAAATCTATGGACTTTCGTGGCATGGTGCTTTTCAGAAGAATGAGATGGAGCAGTTTTACAGCACAAGCACCATATTAAGGCTCAGAAGATCCGAGTTGAGCTCGATCCCATACTTCCTGAGTGTACTTTCAAGTAAAATACTTTCTCTATCTGTACAATGGAAATAACAGTTTGTTCCTCCTACCATTTGACTTGTCCGTCTATTTAGATTTTAAATTATTTGGGTGAGAAACTCTCTCTCACCAGCATTTAGTGCCAAGTATTAAAGGCATAGCAGAGTCAAGTCATGGCCAGTCTAATCCAGGTCATTATACCTCAGTTGGGTGTAGGATTCTTCACAGCCTATTCTGTATTTCTGTGCACATGTAAATGAATGATGCCTTTAACTCGGAGATGGCTGCATTTTAGTTGGGAAGGGTGACAAAGGATGAATTGCTTTGTACGGTATCCTGTTGGTAGAACATTTGGGGATGTCTGGGATGTTGTTATAAATATCAGTCATTATTATTTATTAAACTGGGTACACATAATGCACACACAGCTCCTTCAATTTATTTATATTGAACATTGATAATATCTGCTAGGTAAAGGCGAGCAAAGAAGCTAAGACTGACTTTAACAACCAGAACCTATGTTAAAAATTAATAGATTTGTTAGTGAAAAGAACCCACAGACCACTTAGTATCTTCACGCTTCATCTTTCTTTATTTATAATTGGCATTTTTTAAATGAGTACAATAACCTTCCTAGGTGTATGCGAGTAAAAGCAATTAAAAGCTCACAAATATATCAGTATTAACTATTTCCTTTGCAGGCTATTTCCTCACATTGCAGAGTTCATTGTCCTGGGTGCTGAACAAGCACTTAAAAAAAAAGACATGGCAACTTGACCAGAGAGTATACAGTTTAGAATGGCAACCAACATTCAAAGAGGTAAGCGGGAAGAGAAGTAACCAGATAGAATTATTTTCTCCGTTTCTCAGGTAAGAAATCAACTATTCTTGTGTGAGAAATTGCTACAGGAACACACAGCATTACCCTATGGCTAGGGTCTTGACATATGGCCACAGGCTGGATTCTATCCACAGAGCTATTTCACCGGATCCACAGAACTCCTGGAGTGCCCAGGAATTTAGGGGCAACTGCTGAAATCTGCGGTATGAAGCCTTAGTGGGGATGTGTCTTGGCAGTGGGCAGACAAGAAACAGGTAGCGGGTCCAGATCTGACCTGCAAGGCTCGTTGCAGTCCAGAACTAGTCTGCAAAGATACTTGTAATCCAGACCCTGCCCAAGGGCTGGGCAAGCTTGACACCCCTGTCCTAGAGGAATGCTCAGGAGGAAAGACTGGAGGTATTCAGGAATGACTATTTGCCTGATACCAGGGTCTGTATGCAGGCCAGTGCCATCTTGTGGTCACTTGTATTGAAAGTATCCAACAAATCTGAAAAAGTGTAGCTACTCTATCACTGAGAGGGTTCATAACTAGGGTGGCCATCATAGAGGACATTCCGGTTTTCTGCAACTCTGTCCTCTATTGATATGAAACCTGACGCCTTTATGTCCTCTATTACATAAAGGCGTCAGTAGATGACAGAGGACAACCGGACTGTCCTCTATGATGGCCACCCTATCATAACCACCACAGTCACTATATGATGCATGATCAAAGTTCTACTTGATTATGTCAAAAAGACCAAAGGGATCCTAGTATTACTGGAATCACCCTGCCACCACCTTCTCACTAACCTTTTTTTAAAGACAGAACAGGAAGATAATTCAAAACAGGGAGATAATTGGAGACTTTGGAGTAGGGTTGGCAAGCCAATCAATTGACTGGTCAAATCTCATCTATTAACCAGTCAACTGACAATATTTATTTTTTAACCAGTCAAAGACTACAGCAATTTTACAAACCCCCCCCCCCGCTACATTTTTGTCATAGTTTTCTTGACAGAAATATGATTTTTTTTAAATGATTCTTCTGGGTATTATTTGGGCCCATTAGCAATAATTTTTTTACTATTTTGACCGATATTTGACCAGTCAATTGACCAAACTTTATTTCACCAATCTAATACCCAACCCTAGTTTAGAGATGGCTTCTTGAGTAAGAGTCCAACAAGTATTTTCCTCTAGATTAGAGACATTTAAAAATAAACTCCAAATATTACCCTAATGTGCAGGAAAGACAGAAGGTATAGTAATGTAGTAAAAGGCCAACTAGACTAAATGTTGAGATATTCAATTAATTTCAGAAAGAATCATACATCAAAATGGAAACTAGATCAAATTACTAAGGATAAGTATAAAGGTATAGCACAAGCATGTAGGGACAAAATCAGAAAGCACAAATTGAGATACAACTTGTCAAGAAACATAAAAGGTAACAAGTCAATGGTCCCTAAGTACATTAGCAATGAGAGGCAATGCAAGGAAACAGGTGATTCACAACTCAATAAAAAGGGAATATTAGCATAGGAAAATGACAAAAAGCCAGTATCCAAGGCTTCTTTTGCTTCAGTCTTCACTAAAAAGGTTAACTTTGATCAAGTGGCTAAACACAATTAGCATCAGTGACAAGGGCACAAGAACTCAGGCTAGAATAGTTTCTAATCTGTTCCTTCCCTACTTAGACTAAGTCAGATATTTTCAAACCACTGAGGTTGATAAAATTTGCCCTAGGGTACTTAGAGAACTGGCTGAAGCAATCACAGAGCCATTAGCAATTATCTTTAAGAACTTGTTGAGGACAGGTAAGGCTCCAAAAGAATGGAAAATGGCAAATATAGTAGCTATCTTTAAAACAGAAGGAAAAAGGAAGAACCAGGAACCGTAGGCCAATCAGCCCAACTTCAATTCCAGGAAAGATACTAGAACAAATAATCAAACATTCTATTTGTAAGAAGCTAGAAGATAACTAGGTGATAAGTAACAGCCAACATGGATTTATCAAGAACAAATCATGTCAATCCAACCCAGTTTCCCTCTAAAACAAGGATATGGTTCTTGTGAACAAGGGGGTAGCAGTAAGTGTGATATATAAAGATTTCCGTAAGGTTTTGGACACACAACATTCTCATAAGCAAGCAAAGGAAATATCATTTAGATAAAACTATTGTAAAGTGGATGCACAGCTGGTTGGAAAACTACTCAGAGTTATCAACTCTTCACTCCCAAACTGAATCTTTGAAGTGGAGCTTCACAGGGTCTGGTATTATTCAATGGTTTCATGACTTAGGTGACAGAATAAATAGGATAATATTCTTCTAAAAATTGCAGTTGTCACCGAAGTGGGGAAAGAGGAGGGAGGGGTAAGAAGAGGATGTTGCAAGCACTTTAGAATGAAAAGACAGAATTAGAATGAAAAAGTGAACTTTGAAATAGGAGAAGTGGTCTGAAATTAATAGGTTGCAACCCAGTAAGGACAAGAGCAAAGTGCAACACTTAGGTAGGACTAACCAGCTTGACAAATACAAGGTACAGAACAACTGGTTAGGCAGCAGTTCTGTATAAGAAGGATCTGGGATTATAGTAGATCACAGATTGAACATGAGGCAGCAATTTCATACTATTTCAAAAAAGCAAATACCACAGCACAATGTATAAAAGAGAGTACTTTACACAAGACATGCTGAGCAATCCTTCTACTTTACTCAGCACTTGTAAGGCCTTAGCTATAATATTATGTCCATGTTTCAAGAAAGATGTGGGTAAACTGGAGAGTATCCAAAGGAGAGTAACAAAAATGAACAGGGGTGTGGAAAACATGACCTATGAGAAGCCATTTTAAAATAACTTAATTTTTTCAATCTTGTCTAGGGCAAGTATGACAATAGTCTTCAAAAATATAAAACCTTCAAGAAGGTAGTTTATAAACGTTTTTCCATGCCCACTGGGGATAGGACCAAAAATCGTGGGTTTAAATTATAAGGGATATTTAAAGTGCAGACAGAAGTGACAATTGTTGCCCAATCTGGCCCTGAAAGTGCTCTACAGCCATGACATAACACAAGCACACAGCTGTTGAGCACCTTAAAAAGGTTCAATCCCATAACAATCTGAACCCTCATTATATGAGGGTTCAGATGAAGGCAGTCCAAAGCAGAGCAAATTCATTAACTTGTGTCTGTGCTCGCCTGGACCAGAGCTGAGCTGACGCTCCTGGCACTGGTTTCAGAATGGGAGAGGGGAAGACAGCAGAGGGAGCTCATTCTGGAGGACACCTGGCCTGTGCTAGAGTGGGGTAGGGTGGATGGATTTGAGCTACTTCTCCTTCCACGAGGTGCGGGGGCTCCAATCCACCCACCCCACTCCAGCACAGGCTAGGGAAACCCCAGAATAGACCTGGGATCCCTTCACTGTCTTTTCCCCCTCCTATCCTGGGACAGCACCAGGGGCTGGAAGAGGGGGGACAGAACTAGGGGAAGAGGCTACAGAGACAACCTGTCTCCCTGGATCGGCTCCAAATTGGAGCTTGATCCCCAACCCTTATGACCAATGTTCCCTCTAAGGAGTAGTGGACCATGAGCGTGCCGCTTCGGTCCGTGAGCGTACCACTTCAGTCTGTGAGGGCGCTGCTTCAGGCCCCCTGCCAGCTGGGGCTGCTGCAACTTGGCTCAATGTGCTGTGCTCCTGGGTGCATGTGGGAATTCAGCACCAGGAAGCAAAACTCTGGAGCAATAAGCTGTAATTTATTCATGCACACTAATAGCATGTGTAGATATGTCCTTTGAGAGTTATTTCCATGTCAAGTTTCATCTTTAATATCAACCATTTCAGCTATATGCCTGCTTTTATAAAATAATGTTCAGGAATTTATTAGAATGTGTTTTTAATGGGAAGCGTCTCTCCCTCCATTCTCATGCTGCAAAGCAGCTGAGCTATTTTTGCTGAAACTTTGAAAAAACAAAACATTATCTTCAAGTAAAGACCAAGCATGAAAAAAATATTCTGAAAGACAGTTTTGGAAGGTTGTAATGTTTAAAATTCAATCTGGCAGGTGTCTAACTAGACAGATTTCTGTCAGGCAAGGCATGAAGCTAGGGCTTTGATTTTTGCCTTGTGGTACAAAGTATTGACTGTTTCTAAGTCCTGTAGTACATAGGCACATCCTTGTTGCTATTCTTTTTAAATTCCTTTCTTATAAAATGTAAATATAATATTTACATATTAAGT